GTGTTTAAAAATATCAATAATTGCTTCAACACACTAAATATCTTGTGCTCCAGAATGTATATAGCACACATAAATACAAATGTAAAATAGAGGTATAAGTAGAGTGCAAAAATGAAAGAATAGAACAATTATGATCACATAAAAACAAATGTAAAATATTATTAAACTTTTGTACTTGTTACAGCAACATTTACTTTTTATATTTTATATTTAATATTTGCCTTACAGACTATACCATTATTTGCTATTTCTCTTTTTACATTTTTATGCGACTTCACATGGAATTCTACCTGAGCAACTACTGATCATTTTAAGTATACATATTTTATCCTATTTCTGGGCAATCATTATACACATTATGGGTTCAGAATTGTTCTATTCTTTTATTTTTGCACTCCACTCATACCTCTATTTTACATGTTGCGATAAATACCATGAACTGAGGAGCCAAATATCAGTATTCCTAATATTTTGTAGCATGAAAACAAATCAGTAATAGACTGAAAGACTATTTCATCAGAAATGTGGAAAATCAACTAGACAATTTTACATTGTAGCCAAAATAGTAAAACTATCTAAAATAAATCAAATGTTAATCATTGCAGAAACAATGAAAATCAGCTATAACAAGTAACATTTTCTTTTCAAACATTATATTAAAATTTAATAAGTGATGTCACAAACAAGATCAGTTCAGGCATAGCCAGGGCACTTAATGTAAATGAGGAGGAGGACAGAAACAATGTTTTTCCCCTTCCACTAACTATATTCAGTGGCAGAAAAAGGTAACATGTATGACTGAATGAGAGGAGGACAAGATGGTATTGCAGGTGTCTACACTTCATTTCATTTTTTTTAAAGTCCACAAACACATATTTGATAAATATAGGAGATAAGTAAACATTATATTAAAAAATAATGTGGTCACAAACGCCTAAAAAATACATTTAAAACTAGTAATATGATTTCACTTTAATTATATTGACATAATATTTCCACTAGGTGGCAGTACAGAAATAAAAACTTGCAAGACCAGCAGATAATTCCATTTGCACAAAAATGGTTAATTTAAAACTGTTTTCCTCACTCATTTGATTAAAATCTGTATTCCTTTCATGTTACAGGCAAACAATTGAGGGTAAATAAATTCTTTGTGCTACAGAAGGGCGAACAATATGCCTTTTCTCCAACAGTTAAACCGGAAAAGACAAAGCAGTGTTTAGGGAGACTGAAGTCTGTTTAGACACATTAGCTGAATTGGGATTTGCATTAGTTCAGTGAAAATCTCCCCGAATACAAACGGTGTGAGCTATCTGCATACATCGCTGGCATGGGTGCATTAATCAAGACACATAGCTGTCATGGTTAAAGCACTGCAGGATCAGTTACAGAAGCACAGCAGACCACATCATACTCTTAGAGCATGCATTGCATAAGATCACATTGCAGGGGTTACATTGTAGTTCCTCTACACTAACCACATCAATGACGGTACACAAAATAACTGTGCTTACTGTATCTGTATGTATTTTACTATACTGTGTCTTATTTGTTGAAGGAAAAAAACATCCAACACAAGTAATAACAGGTTTTATTTTGCTGAAATTAAGGAAAATGTCTGGTCATACATTGCAGACATGAGTCTTGAGTTCGTCTTTTATAAGAAATGTTTGGTCTGCCTGCTATCGGTGATGATCTTTTTTGCTTTAGAATTGCTCTTGCAGTCAAAAAAATAAATGCCACTCGTTTGCCCTCTTGTAGTGAATGTTAAGAGAATGGGTTAAAGTGATTTATCAATTTAAGATGGCAGATATTTACCCAAATTATTCATTGGTTCACAGTCCATCAGGAGTCAATGTAAGCATCGTAGGCCGCGACGTGTGTGAGGATAAGGGAAAGTGAAGAAGGGATAATATAGCTCAGACTGAAGGTCAGGGCAGGCAGAGAACAGTGGGTAATGTAGTTCAATATGAAGATCAAGGAAGATTGAATAGTAAATGTAGATCAGTTTGAAGGTCAGAGCTGACATGATGGTTTTGGGAATGTAGCTCAGTTTGAAGGTTTGGGGAGGGAATAAATAAACATCATAACAATCCTTTAATCACAATAAAGACTATAGAAAGGTTGCGACGAGGAAAAAAAATCTTTAAACAAAACATCCACAGGTCAGCAAGGAGAATGTATGCTGTACATTATGGATGACTGACGGCACAGAAATTCTAGAGAAAAATTGGAAAAATTGTTACAGTAATAGAAGGATGTTTGTGCAATATCTAACCTGCATTATTTCTTTACAGTCTTTGTTCCCTGTATCTGAATCCTTTCACACATTCTATAAAATGTATTTTTATTAACAGGTGCACAAAACACGTACTTTAATATCACGCCGAGGCACTATTGTACCTTTGTCGATAAATGCCAGATAGATACTGCAGTTCTAACTTTAGCTTAAATAACATACATTTTTCTTCATAGTAGATTCTCCTAATTAGAAGTTAATGAAGAAAGCAGCATGCTTAATTTTCCCAGTATGCACTCTTTAATACATTTATGCTGAACCTCAACTGCCATTTACTTTCCTCCTAAAACACTATGTGTGTTTGGTTTTCGGCCCCAATTCCAAATGAGACATTTTATCCAATGCCATATTAAAGGGCTTCCATCTATAGATTAAATAGAGGTGAGCCAAGTATAGTCAACAAATGTACTATAATCCACTTACAGGTTTTGTAATAGTGCAAAATGTTCTTTTGATGATATGCGTTTGAATTCTGTCTTTCAATCGGCTTTCATGTGCAATAAGTGTCTTCAAAGCACATATCATTCATTTTCTATTGAACCTTCAAGTGACCCTATCTTTACAGAATCTAAGCAGATTTTACATTCAACATGTATATCGAAATATATGCTTTTTTATATGTTCTGAAATCCTATGAGATGGGCTTCAAGTTATATAAAGAACCATGTATTGATTATTTGTGAATATTTAGTATCTCAGTATCCAGGATAGATTTTTAATTTTAATAAATATGTTATTCATTTTTTTTTCAGGTTTAAGGGCATAGTAGTTAAAATGAACGTGTTACTGACTTAGAGAAAAATTATAGTTTGGCTATTCTGATTTAAAATTGAAATTCCATTTGAAATCTCACTTTAGTGAACAACCCTCACTCAGTTCTATTCTATACTACTATTCCACAGCAAAATTTGTCCCACCATTACACACCAACTCTACCATAATATCTCCATGCACTGACCATACACCAATACTAAAACTGTCTGTCCCATCATCTGTATTCTCCTCTATCATGCTAGACTCTCTAGGATGTCACTAGGGGGTCCGGACAGCCACCTGGATGATGCCATCAGAAGCAGTGACACCAGTACTGTGCTAACTCGGAGGGGGTGCAGGCCACCCCAGGAGACAGGGGGAGCGTAGAGCAACTGCCAACTGAGGCATTGCTAGTGGGGGGGCCGTGTGGATGGTGCCTACTCTGGTGCTGTCCTGTCAGTGGCTGTAATGCAGGTGCTTAGAGGTCTGCTGGGATCTCTCTGTACTGAGTGTCCAGCTTCCTAACGTACCCTGTACTGATAATGGGAGCAAGGATGTGACGTTAACCCAGCCAAAGCATCAGTACAGCATATGGAAGCTGGGCAATGAGCACAGAGAGATCCCAACTGAAAACCACTGGACTCCAGGGATGAGGAACTACTCCAGCTTGCTCTGTCAAGGTAAGAAAAGGGAAGCGGGATGGACCTCACTATATACTGAGAAAAATAATAATAATAAAAAACAATAATTGTGTGTATCACTTGTGTGTCCAAGAGTCTCTGTATGTGCGCAAGAGTATATGAGTGCGTTTATCAATGTGTGTAAGTATGAGCATGTCTGTGTGTGTGTGAATGTATGTTGGAGTATGTGCGTATATGAAGGAAGGGAGGGGCTAAAATGAATTTCTGTCCCAGTTGCCATGTAACCTAGATATGCATCTGTCACTCTCTCCTCACGTTTTTTCTTTTATATCATCATACAAATCATTTTCCGCACAATATTGAGCTTATACTCACGTAAACTACATCATTGGCTATATCAAATATAGAAGAAAGTCATAATGTATATATTTAATAAAATAATGTTTTTGTCCTTTCAGCTATGCTCTTACAAATTGCATTGGAGCCGACTAGAAAAATGCCCAGAGTTTAGATAGTCACATTTACATTCTATAAACATACTGTCATCTTGTAAATATAAGCGCATTTGTGAGAAGATATGATCTGTTTGGAAATGAATTTGCTCTCACACCATCTTCGAAAACAATTTTTAATGTTTCCTTCATGGCAGCTATTTTTTGCAGAGGTTTCATAACGCTGACTTTATTAGTGATGATTTCTATTTCAAGTCTGTATCGTTTCATGCTGTACAGACTTTAACATCTATACTCCCAACCTGTGTCCTGTGCTCCATACTACACTGTTGGATCCCTTTTTTCTTTTGTTTCCACATATTGTCCACATTTCTGCTTCAAGTTTTATGAGACAATCGCAATTGGCTCTGAAAATTAAGAAAAAATCTTCTTTAATATTTAAGTGGAGATGGTAGAAGGAATTTGGAAAACATTAGGCCATTTTCAATATGCATCCACTATTAATAAATAAATTTTACCGTGAATAGTCCAACAAAACCCAGATAGATTTTTGAACAGGCCATGGTTACATAGTTACATAGTTACATAGCTGAAAAGAGACTTGCGTCCATCAAGTTCAGCCTTCCTCACATTTGTTTTTTGCTGTTGATCCAAAAGAAAGCAAAAACCCCCAGTTTGAAGCACTTCCAATTTTGCAACAAGCTAGGAAATAAATTCCTTCTTGACCCCAGAATGGTAGTCAGATTTTTATCCTTGGATCAAGCATTCAAAGATTATATCCTTGAATATTCTGTTTTTGCAAGTATGCATCTAGTAGCTGTTTGAACATCTGTATGGACACTGATAAAACCACTTCTTCAGGCAGAGAATTCAACATCCTTATTGTTCTAACAGTAAAAAAACCTTTCCTTTGCCTTAGACAAAATCTTCTTTCTTCCAGTCTAAACACACGACCTCGTGTCCTATGTAAAGTCTGGTTTGTGAATAGATTTCCACACAATGGTTTGTATTGGCCCTGAATATATTTGTATAATGTTATCATATCCCCTCTCAGGCGACGTTTTTCTAAACTAAATAGGTTTAAATTTGTTAACCTTTCTTCATAGCTGATTTGTTCTATTCCTTTTACATGGTTACATTTTTATCTTTCTTATGAAGTTGTTGCACTTGACAGCAACCTGGTTGTCTTGCTACATAATCTTCCATTGCTTTCTCTATCTTTGGCCACCAAACATTCAATTGCAGGATCAAAAGGTTGAATAGAACCTATTAGCGCCTTGAGTGTTGATATCCACAATCTTTGTCACCACTGTTATGTTAGTAAGGCATGGGTATGTATCTAATTATTGTGTGTAATGCTGCGAGTATCTTGTCAGTAAATTACACACAGGCTAATGTCACACCTTTCCTGCTGTAATAAAATCGATTTATGTGTGTTTTCCGGTTGATTGAAATAATTATTTTATGTATATTTCTTCTTGGGTCAAAGGCTCGCCAGGTTGATATATGTCTTTATTAACCAAAAATACTAATACGCAATCTGACTTACGGTTTCTTCAGGTTTATTCTTACAGTTACTGATACATAATAAAACAACAAAGGATGTTACAGGATAATGGATGTTGAACAGCAGTTGGTAATTGCTGGACTCCTGAAGGGAGAGTTAGTGTCTAGATAGTTAGAGAACAGCCAGACAAGAAGAACCTTGTGGTCCTTTGTTCACTATTCTATATAGATATGACCATTATGACATTAGAATATAACCCTAGCCATATAAGGACAAGACCCACAATTACCGTATTCCAGATTTCTCATGGTGCAGCATAGCAAAGTACCATCTGTTCTTTTTAACCCATTGGACTTCCATGCCTACTATGAATATAAATAGGAAAATAGTAATATCCGACACCAGCATATATAATGTCTCTCAGCTCCTCTGAGGATGGCTTCTCTCAGTTAACAGATGTGCTTTCTAGTGACTAGTACAGCCACCTACTCTGGGACGCACTGCAGCCGGAGAGGCAATATGACGGGAACCTCTGGAGCAGAAAGTGAGTCCACAATACAGATTAAGGAACAGCGCAAACACAAAAACCCCCACAGTTTTACATGTTATAAAGCTACTTAAAATCACCTGTCTTAGCAGGCAGATATGGGGATTCAGTTCCGCCATTTGGCCATATTGTGTAAAGCCCACCGCTACATCACAGTATCCCAATATCATTGGGTCTTACACTAATTTTAACATGGGAGATTTACATGCTAATTTTCAATACTTATAGCTTCAACAGCTTCCAGAGACGTTTCAATTTATGCTTTCCTGTGGTCACCTCCAAAGGTGCACCTATAATGGATGGGTGGGGTGCTCAGCCCAATGGGAATCTGGTCTGGTTTCCAAGTCTATACAGAAAAAAGGAGAATTAAGGGCACACTGGAAACAGTGAGTCTGCTTAAACACTACATATTCAGAGGGAAATATATTTTTAATAATTGTATGTATATATATATATATATATATATATATATATATATCACAATCATGTTTTCCAATGTTATACTGCATGGAAGGTGGTGGGTGATTTTAGTCAGGCAGTGTATTAAAAAGCAGAAAGTGTCTGGAAACTGACACTATGCAGTATGTGCATCTATAAACTCAGTATAGTGCTGGGACATTGTATTTAAAGGGCAGTGGTCTGAAAGTCATGCCCCTGTACTCTTAACCCTGCAACTTAAATCATTGCCATTTTCTTGGACTGGCAGTGTTTACATTACATGGTTATCATGCCTATGGCAGCTGTCCGACTAACCGCTACTTGGACACGCGAATTGATAGTATCATAGAGGCCATTAGATTGGCACAGCATGGCATTCTGCTACGCATGTGCACTAGTCTCACAAAGCTTCAGAAAACATGGGATTGGCCGTGATCATCAAAACTGATGACCTCAGTCAATGAGGTGGGGGCTAGCCGCAGAAAGAGCATCGATTTAAGGGAGAAAAGGTGAGTACACTACCTTTTCACTTTACATAGGAGGGAGGTAAATAAAAAAGTGAGCGGGTAACTTTATTGGTAGGAATACATGTTTGTATTCCTAATGCTATAGTGTTCCTTTAACCCCTTAAGGACACATGACATGTGTGACATGTCAGAATTCCCTTTTATTCCAGAAATTTGGTCCTTAAGGGGTTAAAACAAAAAAATATATATTGTTTTAACTTCTTTCCTGTGTCTATAGCAGCACTGAAATGGTTACTGTAAGAACCTTTTTAGCCTGCGCATGCATGGCAATGCTTTTATACATAGTAAAATGTGACAGGGCTACAGTTTTATTATTTTCTTTAAAGTTACTGCTACTGTTACGCTAATAGACCTGCTGTAACAGACATAACCAGGGCATGGTTTTCTATCCTTTTTTATTTTTTTTATTTTGCTCGCTACAAAAAAAAAGAGAACATTTTGCTAACTGAGGATTTTTAAATGCTAAAGGTTTTCCCTGTCTATTCTCCTTCTCATTCTGATGACACATGCTCTCAATCTACTTTGGACGCATCAGAAATACTGTCTCTGTTATAAAAAAGAACGGATAATTATATCTACACATTCAGCCTGGTTGTTTAAGGCTATTTAATTCTCTCACACTCTAGTTCAGAGTGTAGGGTCGTTTCAGTATTGTGCCCCACCTGACGTGTAATGTTACAGTCCATTGGCCATTAGGCAAAACATTTCCCAGAATCTCTGACTGTTTTTACTATGGTACATTGCTACAATATTGCAAAGGTAAATATTTGCACAGAGCTGTGACTGTTTTCTGGTTTCCTGAGGAATGAGATATCCCACCAGGTAAATAATTTAGCGTTTGCACTCCCGGCGGCGGCACAGAGCAGTGCTTGATACAGCCTTTATCATTTCTCAGCCCTCTTTGATAATCCATAACTGTCTTGTGCAATTATTTTCATTGCCCGGCCAGGCAAGGATAAAAAGCACAACATGCTTCTCTCGCCTTCTCCCAGGGAAACTCCATTAGCATTGAAGGGTCATGTGACCACTAAAAGGCCAATCACGGAGCAGCTAGGCAATCCACAGGGCAATCTCTGTAAGAGTAGAAAATGAAGCTGTTACCAGACAGAAAACTGCAGTCCTGGTTTCTTATGAATATTTGAATGAGTAACTAAAAACAGCTCAGTGAACTTTAAGCAGCTGTGACAGCTGAAACTGCCTTAGAAACCAGGAATCCTAAAGGAGCAGAAATTTCTGCCAGCTATATGTGCCCCGTGATGTAAAAAACGTTGCAATGGCTTAATCATGGAATAAATTGTGTCCAGCTGTGGATACACAGTAACACCCATCATCCCCAGGCATAGTAAATCAACAAGCGTAAAGCACTAGGGTGGCCGCCTTATTTTAAATGAAAACATCTGTAAGCTTTCAGTGCTGCGATATAGTTCAGCATCCTTTTTATAAATACTGATTCAGTGTCACTCGACCACGAATGTTACATTTATTAAGATTTGTTTGTAAAGTATCAAGAGTTACCAGAGCACTGCCCAGCGATGACAGTATACTCATGGCGGTGATAAGGACACCGGTGTAGTACAGTGCTTTCTCACTTCATTTTCAAAGAAGGTAATACTATTTTCCAGCCCATAGGCATTGTTAGGGGATAGATTTATGGGCTAAAGACTCAGATGTAAGACTCCTAAGCCCTGGATCCCTTGGAATGGCAAAATACTTGTGCTCTTGTTTCTTATACTGAGTTGCTGTTAATCAAAGTAGGTAGTCACCTGATGTAAAAGGAAAATGTATTAATATGCTTTCAGAGTAATGATTAGTAAGGCTTCGGGGCGATATGAGACACTAAGGAGGGGGTTACAGGAGATGGTAAGAAGCAAACAAGGGATTTTTAGGAAATGGAGAAATAGGTGAATGGTTATCTTACAGGGACACTGTAGGCACCACGACCACTTCAACTCACTGCTGTTTTCATTGCAGGGTTAAGACTGCCTTTAGTGGTTGTCTACCAGACAGCCAGTAGAGACACTTCCTGCAGTTTTACAGAGTTTAACATTCAGCATCTTGCAGATCACCATAGGAAAGCATTGATTAAAGGCTTTTCTGTGGGGAAGGCCTAATGCGTGAGCAATGCTCCTGCGCATGTGCATTAGGTTCCCCCTCTTACTGACATCGGAGGAGGCAGAGAGGGAGCCAGCGCTGAGGGACATGAGGACTTGAATCAGGAAAATGTTTAAAGGGTTAAGGGAGGCGCAGAGGAACACTATAGTGTCCCTTTAATAAAAGTCAACCATGAGCACCCAGCATTCCTGCTGTTGAAAGCCAGTCGTTAATATAAATGATATGAACGATGGAGCTGGTCCATAGGGGCAGGTGGGGAGGTTTTTTGTTGCCAAATCTATAAGGACTATTGATAAGTGTGTGTCTGGAAAAATAAAACATGTGTCTGTCATGATTATATCTGCAGTGTCTACGCTCCTCTTTAATGATGATTGGAGATGCAGCTGGTTCTGAACAAGGCATGGCATCAAGCCAGGTAGGGGCAGAGCACCACTATCTTTAAACTTCACTAGCCGCCATTAGGTATGAAATCTACGAATATGATGCATGTCTGTTTGTTGCCCAGTGCTATGTTACAGGAGTTATAACTTGGGTGTTCACTAAACTGGAAATTGTGGTAAATTGAAAATTAGATTCATATTAAAACAGACAAGCCATAGCCTTTGGCCAAAATGTTGCCTTTAACATTAGAAGAACAGATTATAGTTCTCTTTGTAAGCTAGTTTACTTAAATATATGAATGGATTTCTGGCCCTTGAGAAGATATGAGAACACTATTCTCAAACTGTGGGTAACACTATTTTCATTTCATTTTCTTCTTTCTCTCTGTCCCCTCTTTTCATTTTTGTTTTTATTTTGCAATAATAAAAAGTTATTTTTGTTTTGCTTAGCAGATTATAAGATCTCCCTTTCAATATTATACTAGATAAAGCAGTACATTCAGCTAGGTCTCAAAAAAAAATTGTGGTTATTAAGGTATTAGATAATGCTTATTAAAATCAGCATATCCACACATTACTAATTATTATTAAAGGGACAATCCAAGCACCATTACCATTAAAAACTGTAGTGGTTACTTTAATAAGTAACTGATTAACTGTGCACAAACATTTCTCTAAAATAGTGTTTAGCAAGCATTGAGTAATATATTTCTGATTTCAGTATTATCCATTTAGTTTTTTTTGCAGAGGCTACACATAGAACAAAGAATTAAATATGCAGGTTTATACTCTAAAGCAGTTGTTCCCAAACTTTTTAGGTTCAAGGCGCCATTAATATTTCAATATCTTTCCAAGGGGCCCCAAGTCAAAACATTTTCTAGGTTGTATATATGTACAGTGCTGCAGCATATACTGTGCCCCTGTTCGGCAGAAATGCTTGCTGTTCAGGTGCAGATCCAGAACCTTGGGAGGAGCACTGGTTGATTATTCAAAGAAACAATCCAGGCACAATAACCACTACAGCACTCTGTAGTGGTTATGGTGCCAGGAGTGCTGTGGTGCCCTCCCAGGGTAAGTAATCAAACTGTTTAAGAACAGTTTGACAATTACCTGGGATCTGCCGGGATAGGGGCTGTAGTAGGGAATTGGGGCAGTAGTGTGTGTGCGTGTGTATGAGGGGTGAAGTGTGTGTATGAGGGGTGTAGTGTGTGTGAAGGGTACAGTGTGTGTGTGGGGGGGGTTGCACTGTGTCTGCGTGTGAGGGGTGCAGTGTGTGTGAAGGACGTAGTGTGTGGGTGTGTGCGTGAGGGGTGCAGTTTGTGCGTGAGGGGTACAGTGTGTGTATTTGGGGGGGCAGTGTGTGTGTTGGGTTCAGTGTGTGGGGGCAGTGTTTGTGTGTGTGTATAGGGGCAGTGTGTGTGTATGTGGGACAGTTTGTGTGTGTGTAGGGGGCAGTCTGTGAGTGGGGGGGGCAGTGCGTGTGTGTATGTGTATGGTGGAGTTATTGTGGGTCTCTGGGGCTAGGAAGGGCTATTAACCCCTTAAGGACTGGACTGTTTTTGCGATGTTGTACATTTGCGACCAGGCATATTTTTACACTTTTGTGGTGTGTGTGTTTGGCTGTAATTTTCCGCTTTCTCATTTACTGTTCCCATACAAATTATATATTGTTTTTTTCAGGACAAAATGGGCTTTCTTTACATACCATTATTTATATAATCTCATGTATTTTAATTTAAAAAAAATAAAAAAATATGATGAAAAATTGAAAAAAATACATGTTTTTTGACTTTTACTTGAAAAATCTTTTACTCATCTACAAAAGCGAATGAAAAAAACTGCTAAATAGATAAAAAATTTTGTCCTGAGTTTAAAAATACCTAGTGAGGGGTGTAGTTTGTGCGTGAGGGGTACAGTGTGTGTATTTGGGGGGGCAGTGTGTGTGTTGGGTTCAGTGTGTGGGGGCAGTGTTTGTGTGTGTGTATAGGGGCTGTTTGTGTGTGTGTGTGGGGGGGGCGCAGTGTGTGTGTATAGGGGCAGTGTGTGTGTATGTGGGACAGTTTGTGTGTGTGTAGGGGGCAGTCTGTGAGTGGGGGGGCAGTGCGTGTGTGTATGTGTATGGTGGAGTTATTGTGGGTCTCTGGGGCTAGGAAGGGCTATTAACCCCTTAAGGACTGGACTGTTTTTGCGATGTTGTACATTTGCGACCAGGCATATTTTTACACTTTTGTGGTGTGTGTGTTTGGCTGTAATTTTCTGCTTTTCCATTTACTGTTCCCATACAAATTATATATTGTTTTTTTCAGGACAAAATGGGCTTTCTTTACATACCATTATTTATATAATCTCATGTATTTTAATTTAAAAAAAATAAAAAAATATGATGAAAAATTGAAAAAAAATACATGTTTTTGACTTTTACTTGAAAAATCTTTTACTCATCTACAAAAGCGAATGAAAAAAACTGCTAAATAGATTCAAAATTTTGTCCTGAGTTTAAAAATACCTAGTGTTTACGTGCTTTTTTGCTTTTTTTTGCATGTTATAGGGCTATAGGTACAAGTAAGATATTGCGGTTTCAAAACATACATTTTTAAAATTTATCAATAGTGACATTGTAACACTATTATCTGTCATAAATCTCTGAATAACACCCCACATGTACATATTTTTTTTAAAGTAGACAACCCAGGGTATTCAATATGGGGTATGTCCAGTCTTTTTTAGTAGCCACTTAGTCGAAAACACTGGCCAAAGTAAGCATTCATATTTGTTTGTGTGTGAAAAAAGTAAAAACTAAATTGAACGCTAATTTTGGCCAGTGTTTGTGACTAAGTGGCTACTAAAAAAGACTGGACATACCCCATTTGCAATACCTTGGGTTGTCTTCTTTTGCAAATGGTATGCCATCATGGGGGTAATTCTCATTCCTGGGCTACCATACGCTCTCAAAGGCAACGTAACCAACCTGGCCATTTTCAATGTAAAAATATTTGACCCATATATTTGACCTTGTAACTTTCAAAAATGCTATAAAACCTGTACATGGGGGGTACTGTTTTACTCGGGAGACATCGCTGAACACAAATATTAGTGTTTAAAAACTGGAAAACGTATCACAACAATTATATCATCAGTAAAAGTGCTGTTTGTGTGTGAAAAATGCAAAAAAAGTCACTTTCACTGACAATATCATCGCTGTGATATGTTTTACTGTTTTGAATCACTAATATTTGTGTTCAGCGAAGTCTCCCGAGTAAAACAGTACCCCCCATGTACAGGTTTTAGGGTGTCGTAGAACGTTACAGGGTAAAATACAGTGCTAGCAAATTAAATTCTCTGGAATTTCGGCCTGGGTTGGCAGGCAGGTCCCTCAAATTGCAATCAATAAAATTACTGAATTATGTAAAAATATTACATAAATACGCACGTAGAATTTAAATATATATGCATATTTATATAGTTTAAGTCTACGTGTATATTTATATAATTATTTATGTAATTTTGTATATGGACATATGTATATTTCTTATTATTTTTATTTATTTATATATACATAGATATATATACAAATTCATTCTAAGTGTATTTTGATATAAATATATATATATATTAATTTTAAAATACAGTTAGAATAAAATTTCATATAGATATATAATTTTTTTTAAATTTTTATTATTATTTTAAAAAATTATTTAATTTAAATTACTTATTATTTATATTTTATAATAATATATATATACAATATATATAGTTATTATATATATTATATATATACATGTGTAATTTAATTATAAATGTATTTTTATATTAATATAAGTACATATTAATATAAAAATACACTTAGTATGGCATTATATATATGATATATAGACATATATTATATAGATATAATATATGTCTATATATCATATATACACATATATAATTGTTATTATTTTTTTAATTAACACTAACTTTATTTTATTTTTTGATTTTACACAGTCAGCACAGACAGTCCCCTTGCAGGCAGACACATGGACACCTATTGTGACCATGTGATCACTGTGTTAAGCGATCACATGGCCACAGTGGTCCTAATTCAGTGTGGGGAGACTGTCTGGGCTGCAGGCAGTCTCCCCACAACCGGAGCCACGCTGATCGCCGCCGGGGGAACGACAGCGATCAGGTAAGTAGCTCAGACCGTTAGGACGGTTCAGGACCGTCATCGGTCGGCAAGCCAAAAATGCCTCGGTCGGGAAAGGGGTTAATAAATATAAATGTGTTTTGGTTTTTTTTTAAATTAAAATAAATAAATAATTTTCATATTCCCCCTTCCTGCTTACCTTTGCCTGGGAGGGGGGCAGTACTAATCCCTGGTGTTTCAGTGGCGAAGCCCTGGTGGTCCTAGTGGTGAGAGTGAACTCTAGCTTGCAGCTCATGCTATAGTTCACTCTTGCGAGATTCAGAGCGTTGCCATGGTAACCGCGGCAATGCTCAGAGCTCGTGAGAGGAGAACCTGGCAAAGCTGCAGGCTAGAGCTCCCCCAACGGCTGCCAGCATTACAGTGCAAGCGGGCCGGCAGGGAAGAGTGAGGCAAGGTTCCCGGTGATATGATTATATGATCATATTACCAGGGAAACATTTTGCTGCGCCCCTGTGTGCCCGGCACACAGTTTGGGAACCATTGCTATAAAGGGTGAACTCTTGTGAATTCAAAGTGAATTTCAATCTGCCGAGCTAGAAAGATTCACCTAATAAATTATGTTTTCAGATTGGCTATTTTTACCTAAAATTTGAAATTCACTTTGAATTTCCATCAATTTATACTTTAGCGAATAATAGTGTAAGTGTACTAAATTCTCCCACTGAGCGTCTTGCGCTAAATATCTTTCTAGTGCTAGCTCTCATTGGAATTTTGTTTAAAAATCAAAGATCATGCCCTTGCAGTGGTCCCCCCATGTAACCCTCAGATACATATATAAAGCAGCTAACAAGCTGAATGAACTCCTTAGCATTATGTCTAGAACCCTTGAACTAGTATTTACAATAAATGAGAAGTCATGATAAATGGATAGCAGGGATGGGCAGCCATCGAAAGTGAATTGATTTATGTTTGTTGCTACAAAGTTTGCGTCTGAATAGTCTGAATTCCCAGGTAGATCAACACGCAAGAACTCGTGGATCTTGCTCTGAACAGAGCCACAAGCCGGCTGCAGAAAAATAAGGCTTCAGTAAAGACCCAGGCTTTCAGCAGCTAAAAAGACACATCAAAGACTTATTTGTTTAAAGAGGTTCCCTTTTCATCTTTGCTGAATGTTATTAAAAAGTGGAAGAATAAAAGACGTATTAGAGCATGCAGCTGACAAATTATGAAGGCTTTATCTCAGCAGATAATGCACTCTCACTAGCTGTGATTGTTCCATATCAGAGTTCCATTTGCTTGTACAATGTAGTCAGGTGCTTGCATAAATGCTCTCAGATTAAATTACAAGATCCTCTTTGTCAAATACATTATTGTCAATAATTACAAAGAATTTGTTATACATTTATACGATCCATTATGTAGCACATTCTAAGCATGATATTAGCACGGGGTCATCCAGAAAGCAGGGTGGAGACATGATATGTACATTAGTGAAATGTACTCGCTATCTCTTTATTTTAGCCGCTCCTGTGATTCTTGTCAGTGTTTACGCCTTTTTCCACAATGATTCATTACTGATTGTTCATTTGTGATGTGTGCTCGTATCCTCGTTTTTATTAAGTATCTGCCAGGGTAATCAGTGCATCACTAAGTACACATTGAAGCTATGAACACATTACTGGTTTAGCGATTGTCCAAAATATTTGTTTGTTCCTTGTTATTATAATTTGTGGAGGGGTTTTATAACTCAGATAATTGGGCATTGGTTGTATTGCCTCCTTGATTGGCCTTTCATTCTGATCAGCAGCAAAACAGAAACCCATTTTGATGACAGATAAAAGCCAGTTCATTCATCCAATCTGTATAGCCTTTAGTTCTGGTTTATTTTTCATTTTAGGACAGCGGTGTGTTATACCCAAGCTTTTTTAAACTTTTCCACTTTAATCTGCTTTTATTAAATGGCTATTCCAACCCTTAAAAAATATTTTGTGAAAGAAAATAAATAATACCCTATTGGGCATTGTTCTTTATGTCCTTCCTGATCTCCAATTAAATTTGCTTAAACTAAGTTTTACTTACCTGGAATCCAGATCTCGGCACAGTTCTCTAAGCCCCCTCCTGTTAAGGCAGCCAACGCAAGTACAACCAAAAGCTTCTCATTGACAAGAGACATAACAGTACATAAAAACACAAAGGTGGAGAATGTCTTGAGTCCTTAGTGAATCGATAAATAATGAACCCACAGACGTCAGCGTTCAATGCGACCACATGGCTCACTTTCTCTGTCTCCCATTATCCATAGACACTATGCATTTTTTTGATACTGACTTTTTGGAGCTTGCCCTGCTGAAGATTTTGCATTACTGAGAGCAGCATCATTAATCTGTTGTTCCTGATCTTTGTAATCCTAACCTCGGCTTGTCTCTCGTTATTGTGCCCTTCTGTTATCCCTTGATGTATCCCTAGTATTCTCACTTAGTCTCAGACTACTTGCAGACTGTTTCACCTGTCTAGACATTGTGTTAAGCACAGCCAGTCGAAGAACTGGTATACGCTACTATCCTTATCCTCTACTCTAGCTTCATCTAGGTTTGCATGATATGGTTAGGCTAGCCTTGACACATTGTTAGCACACCATCAAAAAAACAAAAAGAAGTTTAAAAAATATTCTAAATCTTGGTTTACTTGTCCGCCATGTATATAAAATTTACCAGCTCTCTGCAAATTGTGTTCTGAAGCAGCTGCAGACGTCTAGTCTACATTGTAAATAATAAGACTAGTTACAGCCCATTGTAGTAATGTAGCATCAGTAAATCTGCTAAATTGTGCATTGTCTTCCATGGCATTTGCTGTGACCAGTTATGTTAGAAAGAGTATATTAAAAAAACTAATATCACTCATGGATCCCCAGCATTTCCTTTCAAGGAACGCTTCAAGAGCCATAACAACTTTGACAGAATTTAGTTGTTATGGTGTCAGAAGGTCCCTCGCACCTGCTCATCAGGGATTAAACTGTTAACCCCTAAAGTTTTAATTCAGAACCGTTTAGCTCTGGCCAGCTCCTTCTCCTCCTGTTTGAGGCTTGAATCGGGGCATGAGAAAGTAAACAGATGCTCTATCAGCGGCACCCCTTTCCTAAACTTCCTGATTCAAGCCTCAAACAAAAGCAGAAGGGTAAAGCTAAACTGCTCTGGATTCAACACTTTGGGGTTAAACTGTTCCTCAATGGTTTGTACACTAAAGATACAGTGCCAGGGACTTCCAGGGATTCCCTGATACCATAACAGGGAGATAGCTCAGTGGGCTAATGCATCATCAATAGAATCTGGTAAACCCTTGGGTCACAGGTTCAGAATCCTGGCAGAGTTCACTCATCCCTTAATCCTTCTGAGGTAGATAAAATGAGTACAATTAAATTGGGTAATAGTAACAACCCCTGGATGCTAAGGTAACATACTTGAAAACTAGAGTAATCTGAACCAATTAAAATTGGTTAATATTATTATAACAATGTCATTCAAATGAAGTTGTTATGGTGCTAGGAATGTTCCTTCACGAATTTTAGCTACTTACCTTGTCCTCCTCTCCATGTCCAGAACGCACATGCTGCTGTTACTGCCGTTGATGATAGAACTGAAACAGATAGAAATATATATATATATTAAGAACAGATAAGAAAAATATCATATATCACTGCTTATTCTCATTCTCTTTGAAGTTGCATAGACTGGAATGGAAGTTATATAGACTGAAAAGAGACTTGTGTCTAGCAATTTCAGTTTATCTCACAACTGTTTTTGCTGTTGATACAAAAAAAAACCAATTTGAAGTGCTTTCCAATTTTGCAACAAACTAGGCACAAATTCCTTTTGGACCCTAGAATGGCAGTCAGATATCGCCTTGGATCAAGAAGCATATATTAACATTTCGACTCCTGAATATTATGTTTTTGCAAGAATTAAACCAGTTTCTTATTAAACATCTGTATAGACTCTGGTGAAACCACCTCTTCAGGCAGCGAATTTCACATCCTTATTGTAGAAAAACAGTAAATAATCCAGAAAAAAGCACCATTTTCTTATCATCATTGTCACATTCTTAGTCATCATTACTATTATCAGCACAATAACAGAAATATTTTCTCCTTCTACAACAAGAAAACAGGCCAGACTGCAATCTAAAATGTGGGTTTGGGGAACCCCATGCTCCCACTTTAGCTTGTCCCTGATAAAGCTTTAGATGTCGCTGTAGGTGGCACCTCATGTGTGTTGAACACCTGCGTAGTAAATGTTGACAGTGGATGTAACGTAATAACTACAGTGAAGTTCAGTAAAACGGATTTACAGACACATTTAATTTTATGTGCATGTAATCCATTTTCATGCATTGCATTTGTAACTAAAACGCTCCTTGTTTATGGGTGGGGGAGGAATTCAGACATATGTAGTGCAGTGGGAATGACCATCCTGTAGCAGACTGTCCATGTGTGGTCTGTGAATTTGTAATTCTCTCTATCCCATCTCGTGCTTTCATTTGAGTCCGACAAAATTCCAAACTTATTCTAACACTCAGATCATATCCAACAAGGTATCAGAGACATGGAAAACAATATTTTACTAACAAATGAGTTAAATTGTCATTGTCAACTAATGGTTGTGTTTTCCCATCACTCCTATAACCATGTGTAAAGTTGCTTAACCTGTGAGTTTGGGTACATTTGGCAAAAGGAGTTGGTCTTCTTTCTGGCATAATGTGCTTGGACTTTGCACAGTTGATGCCAGGAGACTGGACCTTTATGTGGCATAATTCATATTAAGGAAGTAGACACTGAGTTTCTCCTGATACATTGATCCTCTTTTTTAAGCTGATAAAAAAGCCTATAACTTTACAAACGTACGACAACAAACGCAATTGCAATATCAACTAAATACTCATGCAACTTTTTAGATTATTCCTAGGATGGTTATTAAGATGATTTGTAATTTTGTGCAATGTATGGGGAGAGATAATTGTTCAGCTGTTTTAGCAAATTGTCTGTCTTTTCCACTTACCCCCTTCCTTAACTTAATCGTATTTTCATTCAGCACCTTATTTATTATAAATCTGATGACTATCAATAATATATGTTCAGCTCAACTCAGGTTTATCTTCTTAACTCTGCTAATGCCTTCCATTTCACATCTTGATTTTGACATTAATAATGTGTCTTCTAAACTGAATGCATTAGTATTGTGTTTTATTTATCATATTATATATCACTAGCACCATGTATAATAGGAGGTCTAGATACATTTAGTGCAAGAGGCATTGGACTTTGTCCTGGTACAATGTTAGCTTTGGGATGGGAACACCAAGTGTCATGATAGGGGAATTGGGCTTACTATACTTACAACGATGGTATCTCCATTCTTTATCTGAATTTAATTTGCAAAAAAGCATATTTGTGTACCACTGCCAAATAGTTATTGTACTGCACAAACAGCTTTAGAAATACTTAGAGATATATTAAGTACAGAACAGTATGTATGTAAGTACAGTACAGTTTGTTGGTAATGCTAAAGTCAATGGACTTCATTACTTAGCCATATAGCTTTCACTTTCCCTTTCCAAAGGCAGAAAAAAACTGGCTTAAATGTGTAACGCAGCCATTGACCTTCTGTTTGCATGAATTATTGTCAACTGGAAGTTCCAAATAGTTACCAATTATTTATGGATACTTATTTAGGTCTTTCATAAAATGCTTCTCCAAATGTTTTCTTCAGACCTAAAATTTTTTGAAGTTTATTAAAGGACCACTCTAGGCACCCAGACCACTTCAGCTTAATGAAGTGGTCTGGGTGCCAGGTCCTTCTAGGGTTAACCCATTTTTTCATAATTATAGCAGTTTCAGAGAAACTGCTATAATTATGAATGGGTTAAGCCTTCCCCCTAATCCTCTAGTGGCTGTCTCATTGACAGCCACTAGAGGCGCTTGCGTGCTTCTCACTGTGATTTTCACAGTGAGAGCACGCCAGCGTCCATAGGAAAGCATTGTAAATGCTTTCCTATGAGACCGGCTGAATGCGCGCGCAGCTCTTGCCGCGCGTGCGCATTCAGCCGGCGGGGCGTAACGGAGGAGGAGAGAAGGAGGAGAGCTCTCCGCCCAGCACTGGAAAAAGGTAAGTTTTTACCCCTTTCCCCTTCCAGAGCCGGGCGGGAGGGGGTCCCTGAGGGTGGGGGCACCCTCAGGGCACTATAGTGCCAGGAAAACGAGTATGTTTTCCTGGCACTATAGTGGTCCTTTAACAAAGGAATTTTGGATAATTGACAAAGGAGTTGTACTTTTTCAGCCAATAGCAAATGCAGAGACATTTTCTGTTAGCTATTTTTCCATCTCAACTACTTTGGACTAACCTACCGATCCCCTTGTCAATACCCCAAACTCTCTAGTTTAGTGAATAAATCCCTTTAAAATATGTGTATTCCCATTTTACCTAATACTCATTAAATATTCTGGGGCTTATTCATAGAGTATAATGCCTCTATAATAGTAAATACAATTTCTTTTGTTTTGTATTTTTTGCATACTTGATTAGGGAGCTTTTCAAAGGAACCTTATGGCGGCAGCAAGGATATTTGGGAGTTGTAGTTCAATTGTCAACTTTCTGTCATGATATCATGTAAAACAGAACATTTAGAGCAGGGGTGCCCAAAATGTGGTTTCCCAGATGTTGTGGAACTTAAACTACCATGATACTTTGCATGCCTGTAGAATGACAAAGCATCTCGGAAGCGCTAGTTTTAAAACACCTTGGAACCCCTGATTTAGAGCAAAGAAGGAGAAAGGATACAGTGCAAACTGGACACGAAAAACCACAAAGAGTGAACTGATAGAATAAAATTAGTATTAAAAAAGAAGGCTGAAAAAAAAGAAACATCCAGATCAACTAACTTTAACCTAACCTACACCTTGCATCAAATATATTAGTACCTGCAGCCCCTGTTCGAAGGTAAAAAGCCTTCTGAAATATTACTATGGTAAAAACATAACATGTATGCAATAGTCATATATCAGTAAAGACAAATGACATAAGTTAAATTAAACGTAACTCAATGCCTAAACGCTCATTATGTACAGCTCCCACAAAGGATACTATTTGTGACTTTGTTAAACCATGTCCACAATGATAATCAAAAATAATAAATCCACAATCACCGTTCCTAATAGGTGTAACAGAAGGGTGAAATCTCATGGTTTTCAAATGCTGAATCTTCAATCAGTTGTTTGGGGAACAGGAAGCTAGTGACACGCTCCCAATTTCACCCTTCTCTGAAACAAGGAACTAGGTGATAAAGATGGCATATATGACCATGAATGTTCATATTCAACGTGTCTGTGACTTATGTCCACTTGAAAAGCAGTAAAGTAGCACAATAAAATTTGGTAACATAATACTTGTTTGTCGAATCCTTCTATTCCCTCTATTAACTGCTCCCTGTATAACATCCTGTAGAAATGGCTCAATCAATAGGCCATTTCATGACCATATCTCACACTGCTCTAAACAACCTTCATTGCCACGAAAGGTCTCAACTCTGAAGAAGCATTTTTGAACAGGCAGGACTTGTCATCCTGGCTGATTTTTTTTTTAGACCAAAAGGAACTCATAAATACCTTTTATGAGACAAATTACTCAACATTTCCAGTTCTAAGTCCATCTGTTCACAACGCACCCAGGGAATCATGGCAATAAGATAATTATGCCTCGAGGGACTCTTCTTATATCGTAAAATTTATACTTTTCCTCCAAGTTTCTAGAGGGCATAAATACACTCATTGTGCACTATTTCATCTGCAATATTACCAGAGCTTGCAGGACAACTGTAGGAAATCAGATTTCTTTCTCACTCAAAACCATCCCAAGCTACAAGATTTCTTAATCATACTGAGTGATATTTTCACACCTACTAACACAAAGGTGTTAGCTATGATCATTCGAGCTGATGGTAAGGTTAATTTACAGGAATACAGCTTAACATTAATATACTAGGTAGGAATAAATTTAGTATCTGCAGAGAGAGATAAATCGCACACTTCTAAAAAAAATCTCTATGCAGAAAGTACCGATAACTCAGGTATTGGTATCACGGCATTTGGAATTCTTTTTACCAAAATAAAAAATGGTGAAGTATCAGTTCTACAACTACCTACCTCTACGGGTTAACATGCAGCAAATTGCTACACAAAACGTAAATACCAGTGCAAAATCAGTTCTTCTAGATTTTGTGTCTTTTTAGCATTTGTTACGACTGTGGCAAAAACCTCTGCACATTCAGAACACTCTTCTTGTCATGTAAATCTTAATTTGTACAATTAAATTGCTGAGACATCACATCCATCAGGTTAATAAGGTCTCTGTTTAATTTGCTGCGAATTAAAACAAAATGCCTAATCAGTTCTACATTTTGCTTTGACAAGTGCATCCATAATCATGGTGTTATTGGATATGCATGGTCAGAAAATGTAATTGTTAGTTGGACTGTAACATTTAAACTGTCCTCATGAAGGGCACGGTTCAGAGGAGCTGAAAAATATTACTACATTTATAAAGAAACTGTGAATATCTTAATGAGTAGGATTATAAACGTGAAGTGCACCATGTATTGGAGAAGCTAATTTGGGGTTTTAAAATGTAAAAGTGCAGATTAATTAAGGTAAAAGTTTAGCATTAAAGAGTTAAAGAGAACCTGCCATGACCAAAACAACATTTACTCTTTATAAAGGGCATCTGATTTATTCTATACATTGTGCTTGTTGTTCTGTTAGCAAATGTACAGACAGGGAGAAACATTTTTTTTTTTAAATAGTTTTTTTTTTGGTCTCCCAGCTGTCAATCAATTCTTCAGCAAAGTCTCTAGTGAAATCTCTATTGATTGACAGGTAGAACAGAAAAGACCTCCTACAGGTGGTCCTCCTGCTCTCCATCCATAACAAACAGTGCCAGCTGCTGAAACTCCCTAGCCAATGCTGCTAGCCCTGGCTAGGGAGTATAGGAGCAGGGTAACTGACATTACACCGTTCAGACGTTCAATAAAGCCAAGGTGCTGGAGTCATGGAGGAGGTTTTCCCTGCTTGATGAAGTGTTCCAGACAGAGCAAATCAATGAAGGGAGTAGGAGGAGAACCTACGGTGGGTGTTACAGAAGTGTTCAGATGGTAAGGTAAAAATTTTGCACATCCCTTCCTGGTTTCTTTTGGGGATATTACCCACTGGATGATATGGAATCTTCTCAAAATGATTCCACAAACCTGAGCATGACTTCAGATTACCCCTGGTCCCTGCACAAATCCCTTCATTCTGTTAATAATATTTTGGGTTGTTGTCAAGCAAAAGGTGTGCAACCTGAATTTGAAAATCTGCAGGAACGTCATTATGCTAGTAAGAAACCCAGGACGAAAATAAAAATAAGTACCTCATAGCTTGGCCATAGGAAGTGTATAAATATACCATGGGCACTTACAGGGAGTGCAGAATTATTAGGCAAATGAGTATTTTGACCACATCATCCTCTTTATGCATGTTGTCTTACTCCAAGCTGTATAGGCTCGAAAGCCTACTACCAATTAAGCATATTAGGTGATGTGCATCTCTGTAATGAGAAGGGGTGTGGTCTAATGACATCAACACCCTATATCAGGTGTGCATAATTATTAGGCAACTTCCTTTCCTTTGGCAAAATGGGTCAAAAGAAGGACTTGACAGGCTCAGAAAAGTCAAAAATAGTGAGATATCTTGCAGAGGGATGCAGCACTCTTAAAATTGCAAAGCTTCTGAAGCGTGATCATCGAACAATCAAGCGTTTCATTCAAAATAGTCAACAGGGTCGCAAGAAGCGTGTGGAAAAACCAAGGCGCAAAATAACTGCCCATGAACTGAGAAAAGTCAAGCGTGCAGCTGCCACGATGCCACTTGCCACCAGTTTGGCCATATTTCAGAGCTGCAACATCACTGGAGTGCCCAAAAGCACAAGGTGTGCAATACTCAGAGACATGGCCAAGGTAAGAAAGGCTGAAAGACGACCACCACTGAACAAGACACACAAGCTGAAACGTCAAGACTGGGCCAAGAAATATCTCAAGACTGATTTTTCTAAGGTTTTATGGACTGATGAAATGAGAGTGAGTCTTGATGGGCCAGATGGATGGGCCCGTGGCTGGATTGGTAAAGGGCAGAGAGCTCCAGTCCGACTCAGACGCCAGCAAGGTGGAGGTGGAGTACTGGTTTGGGCTGGTATCATCAAAGATGAGCTTGTGGGGCCTTTTCGGGTTGAGGATGGAGTCAAGCTCAACTCCCAGTCCTACTGCCAGTTCCTGGAAGACACCTTCTTCAAGCAGTGGTACAGGAAGAAGTCTGCATCCTTCAAGAAAAACATGATTTTCATGCAGGACAATGCTCCATCACACGCGTCCAAGTACTCCACAGCGTGGCTGGCAAGAAAGGGTATAAAAGAAGAAAATCTAATGACATGGCCTCCTTGTTCACCTGATCTGAACCCCATTGAGAACCTGTGGTCCATCATCAAATGTGAGATTTACAAGGAGGGAAAACAGTACACCTCTCTGAACAGTGTCTGGGAGGCTGTGGTTGCTGCTGCACGCAATGTTGATGGTGAACAGATCAAAACACTGACAGAATCCATGGATGGCAGGCTTTTGAGTGTCCTTGGAAAGAAAGGTGGCTATATTGGTCACTGATTTGTTTTTGTTTTGTTTTTGAATGTCAGAAATGTATATTTGTGAATGGTGAGATGTTATATTGGTTTCACTGTTAATAAGAAATAATTGAAATGGGTATATATTTGTTTTTTGTTAAGTTGCCTAATAATTATGCACAGTAATAGTCACCTGCACACACAGATATCCCCCTAACATAGCTAAAACTAAAAACAAACTAAAAACTACTTCCAAAAATATTCAGCTTTGATATTAATGAGTTTTTTGGGTTCATTGAGAACATGGTTGTTGTTCAATAATAAAATGAATCCTCAAAAATACAACTTGCCTAATAATTCTGCACTCCCTGTATTAGTGGTGATTATAAGCGGTTGGTGAGGTTTTGTGGTTTTCTGAATTCAATTACAACTGGAAGTAAAACTATTTGATAGACTACTGGAGTCTAAAATTACCGTCCCTATAAAATATATTATAATACAATAAGGAGTAGCCAACTACAGGGCAAACTGGCAAGCGTATGCATTACAGTGCCAGAGTCCTCGTTTTATGTTTAATATAACTGGGTTTAAGCTCATTTGACAGATTTATGCCTCCCTTTACATTGTGAGCATTATATATAATGCATATCTGTATTATATAAAAACAAAAAGTTTGAAAATGAATAAGTTACCTGACCTAAGTTCATCAGCTTCTTGTACTCTACCAAATCTCTACAATAAATAAATAAAAAGAAAACATAATAATGATCAATACAGGTTTATGACAATGTGTAGATTTGTCACTGAACAACCTTCTCTTCTTCTGCCTTGAGGTACAATGAGGTGAAAAGGTTTGTTATCATTAGGTTTAACTTATTAATTATACTAGTAAAGTATAGGATGTGGTAAACTCCTTAAAGAGTTACTCCAAGCATCATACCTACTACAGCCCTTTGTAATGGTTATGATGCCAGGAGTACCCTGGAGCTGTTCCCCGGTAATAGTGCAAACCATTTAGTAACTGTCCGCCCTCTTACCTGCGTCCCCACCATGCACCTCCGATCTTTAAATTTAAACGTAAACAATCTGATCTTAAAAGGACAAGTGTCACCTCAAAACTATTTTTTTAAATATATATAATAATCCTTTTATCGTAGTTTTAAAGGAAATATATTTGAAAAGAAATGAAATATATGTAAAAAAAAAAAAAATGAGAACAACTCATCCCTACCTTTAGTATATGGCAGGATCCTTCAGCCATATACATGGACCTTGGGTCAGACTGTGTTTGAGAGCCACAATATTCCCTGCATGGAAGACCATAGAGACTAACATTCGGTTTTCGAATACTGTCTGACCCAAGGTCCATGTATATGGCTGAAGGCTCCTGTCATATGCTAAAGGTAGGGATACGTTTTTCTTTTCACATATACTTAATTTAATTACAGGTCAATTTCCTTTCAAATAGAGAACTTAATGAAAGGATTATTATATTAAAATAGTATTGGTGACAACTGTCTTTAGCCTTGCACATCCTCCTCAACTCCTGGCTCTTCAGTTGCCAGAAGCCGCGTCAGTGCTGTACCCTCACGCATGCATGAGAGTACGACACTGAGATCTATGGAGGATCCTGCAAGACGACTGGAGCCTTCATTGACGATAGAGCTCTGTCTTTTGTTGACCCCAAGCTTGTCCATAAAACAAAGTAGCTCCTACATTGTTTTATGGCATCTTTGGATTGTGCTGGAATTTAAGTAAAATTCTAATGCAATCTTGATCAGTATTTCATAAGGAATATATCGCTATAAAATATTTAAAAGTGACACTGACTTTAAATTTTGACTTACTCATGGGGCAAAAAACAGGTCGCAAGAATATTCTGAGAACGGAAAGCAACTGAAATAGCCTGCCCTTTGGTGGATCCCCGCTCAGAACTCAAGCTGGTTTTAGCTCATCTTGTGCCATTACAGAGAGAACATATCTGAAGCATATCAGACTGGTCCCACCCATAAGGGCAGTCCAGATCTGAAATGCACGAGAGATACAGCAACCCCAGACAATCATTTCAGCCTTGTTAGGCATCATCAGTGAGGCATAGCTGATATCTCTCTAGGCACCGTGAGCAAGGGATCCACGTGTGGATTACCCTTTAAACTTATGGAGAGCAAAAAATGGGTCACAAGAGTATTCTGAGAATGGACAGCAACTGAAATAGCCTGCCCTTCGGTGGATACCCGCTCAGAACTCAAGCTGGTTTTAGCTCACCTTGTGCCATTACAGAGAGAAGATATGTGAAGCATATCAGTTACTCATGGGACAATAAGCTGATGTCTCGCAGTCTCTGGGCTGTATGTTTAGTTAGGGTGCAGTGTTCCTGTGCTGCAGAGGATGGTCCTGCATCTAGTGTGCCATTCTCATCTACTCTGCTCTGACAGAAGTGATTATTTAGTGGAAGAAGAGGAGCCAGGCCTAGTGTACATCCTTCCGCAGGAGGATTCAGGTAGTGGTGCATTTACATTTTACCATTCACAGTAAAAGTGATAACACTACCTACAGCTCGCTGAGGACCCACAGTGTGCACCATCATCAAAAGCACTATACAGAATTTTGCGGTTCAGTTGGGAAAAGGGTGTCCTGTAAAGTGGGTGACTATTTGATTATTATATTCTTATTATAACTGTTTTTTATACTCTTATACATGTAGCATTAGATGTGTATTGAGGTCAGTAACAAGCAGCAGCATTTATAGTAGTAGATAGGCATTCTGTTTTTATTGTTATATCACTGCATTTTATCCACATTTGTATATATTTCCTATATATTTCAGGATTGTTGCCGGTCTAATTATTATGTATAGGTTGTGCATTGTATTGGTGCCGTGGGTTGCCTGAAAGTATAAGATCACTGAGTGGACTGTGCATTACGGGAGTCAAGAAGTCCATAAGGGTCCTGCTCCAGCGTAGACTCAGATCATTCCTACAAAGCTTGCAGCGTCAAGGGTGACTGCACCCCCTTCACTGAAGATGGGTAAACTTACAATGATGGTGACGTGATAACGCAGAAATACTTTCTCTTTCATTAGAGGACACTGTCTGATGATCAACTGTCTTGATATTAGCTCTCATCTCGCAATATGTACTTAGCACATTTGCATGCTAAAGGCCAAGGAATAGTGCTTTCTGGGAGCCAGCCCATAGTAGGTAGGCTTCCTGTTTGTACTAATTATCAACGCTGCCCATGCAACAATTTAACACAAGAAGCAGCAAGTGGTGACATGTCTTGGACACACTGCTTCCTACTACTGAAAAGAATGAGATATTCGTGGTGTACCGGCTGAGATAATACAGTAATATTGCCGAATGATTGCTTTGTTCAAACATTAAGCTTTGCAGAATTCCGCATTTAGTATTTTGGAGGAAAATTATGTACAGAATTGTGTACTTTACACTAAAAACTGAAACTGTATTTTGTTGCCAGTTGGTTAGCACATTGTATAGACAAGGGGTAGACAACCTTTTCACAGCACTTTGCTAAAACGAGACTAGGAAGTCCTTTGGCATGACGGACCTTTTTTTTATTTAATTAACTGGAGTGTATTTTGCTGTATGGTATGCACATTATGTATGGGTGCTGCAGCCACTTTGTAGGTTTGTATTTGATGTGGTGTGTGTATTAACCTGTACATGCATGAGCAGTATGTGTGTTTATATTTGTTTGTGAGAGCTGTGTATCATGCTATGTTTGTGAATGTAGGCTGTGCATAGGGGGCTGCTTGTGGGTTATATGTTGTATGGTGCAGTGGCGTAGCGTGGGTTGTCAGCACCCGGGGCAAGGCAAGTAATTTGCGCCCCCTAACCCATGGATTTTAGCACTCGAGTCTCTTCCACTAGATTAGTTAAAGAAACCCTTACCCCCCAAGCACATGTATTGTTTGTTATGAAAATACTTATGTAATTAAAGTAAAATGCATCTAAATACAAGTTTATTGGCACCAGGGCCGGTGCAAGGATTCTTGCTGCCCTAGGCAAGAATACATTTTGACGCCACCTTATGAATGCAACTACATTCCCTCAGAAGTTTATTCACTAAACTCTGAATTACACTAAAGAGACATTTAGGGAAAGAGGCGCACTGAGTAGATATTAAAGGGAAACTATAGTGCCAGGAAAACAAACTTGTTATCCTGGCACTATAGCTTCCCTCTCCGTCAAGCGCATCCCCCCTCGTGGTGCAGCAGGGGTTAAAACACCTTCTGTCACTTACCTGGGTCCAGCACCAATGTCTTTTGTGCTGGCTTGGGTCCGCCTTAGCTCCTCAATGGCCTCGCTCGCAGTGATATTTCCGTGACTGGACGTCCCCATGCATAGCCACTAGAGGAGTTAACCCTGAATGGTAATTATTGAAGTTTCTTAAAAATTGCAATAATTACCTTTGCAGTGTCACTTACACAATCTCACTAATACACACACTCTCTCACTGGCATACACACTTACATATTCTAACTCTAACTTACACACTAACACATACACATTCTCACTGACCTACACATTGTCACTTGCACACTCTCACTAACATACACAGTGTCACTTACACACTCTCACTAACACACACAGTGTCACCTACATACTCTCACTTATACACACACACTCTAACTTACACACTATCACTGGCATAGACATTGTCAGTTACACACTCTAACACCACACAGTGTCACACATGCTCACTAACAGTGTCACTTGCACACTCTCACTAACTGTCACTTGCACTCTCTCCCTAACACATACTCACTAACAGTGTCACTTGTACACTTTCCTTTAAACACATACTCACTAACATTGTCACTTGCACACTCTCCCTAACACACACACCCAGAGTCACTTGCACATTCTCACTAACACACACACACACACACACACACACAGAGAGTCACTTGCACACTCTCCCTAACACACACACTGTCACTCAAACACAAACTTTACATAAGGTCACACTTTATTTACACACACAAACACACCAATTTAACAATACCCCATTTACAAACATGCACACAATAAGCAATCCCCCTTAACCATGCCATACCTGGGTGCTGTGCTGAGCAGAGGTCCAGGCTGCAGGATCCAGGATCTTGCTCTTTCTCCTGGGGAGCAGGAGAGCCATGCACTTTGAGCACAGCCTGCTTCCTGCTCCCTTCACAGTGCTCTGCTCGGGTTACAGCAAACCCCACTGCCCGAGCAGGTAATCTGCTGCAGAGGGAGCCCAGCAGGTGAGTGGCTGCGCTGGGGGGTGGCTAAAGAGCCGCTCGTCCAGCACAGCATCCCCGGACAGCTACAGCAGGGCAGCCCACCGGGAAACCTCTCGGTGGGCGCCCCGTAGAGGCCGGCGCCCTAGGCGAATGCCTTATTCGCCTTAATGGTAGCGCCGGCCCTGCCTGGCACCCCCCTCCACAGTGGGCGGCGACCCGGCGGCTAGGATTCGCACAGCCAGCACTGCAGAGAGAGTGAGTGAGCCAGGCAGGGGCAGAGAGCTGCGAGTGCGAGCGCGCCCCCCCAGATGTTGCGCCCGGTGCGGCCGGCCCCCCCTGCACCCCTCACGCTACGCCTCTGGTATGGTGTGTGGTGTTGTGTGTATGTATGGAGGAACTGTTTGTTCTGGGCTAAAACCCTCAGTGTTTTGACACCATTTTACTGTTACTCCTCTGGCAGAAGTGTGGTTAATCCCTGTATGTGCAGCTTTTCATAGTAAAATACTCCATAAACAGACTCAAGGTATCATGACCACTTCAAATCACTGAAGTGGTTATGGTGCATGAAGTAACACCTTACAGCACAGTGTGAGGTTTCTATGGGTGCAGGATTTTAATGCACTGGGATGCAGGGTTAGTTAACACAGCATGTTGTGAAGTTAATACAGCAGGTGCTAAGTTATATAATAAGTATTTATGGAAGATGCTAGAGTTTACGTTGTGGTTTTTGGGGTGCTGTATATGGCTTGTTTTAGAAGGGACTTAAGTCAATATGTGTGGGAGGTGTTACAACTTATAAACATGGGATGAAGCCCCTGATCTTTTTGCCACACAGCAACGCCACCAAAAATACTTTATCTTCATACCTTATCCTACCCTGACCTTCCTCTCTTTCCCTTCACAAATCTAGTTTAAATTTTTACTTAGGATTTACTACCAATGCTTCTCTTACAAAACAGACACAATGTACAGAGCATGAAGCATTCATTTTGTATGTAAGTATGACGCATTGTGTGTGTGTTTGTATGGGTATGGTTTGTTTGCACGGATCAGTATGAGTGTCTGCATGGGTCAGTGTGGGTGTCTGTGTCTGCAATGGTTAGTGTGCACATGTGTCAGTGTGAGTGTATGTGTCTGCATGGGTTAGTGTGCACATGTGTCAGTGTGAGTGTGTGTGTCTGCATGTGTCAGTGTGTGCATGTCTACGTGGGTCAGTGTGTGTCTGCATGGAACAGAGAGTGTGTCTTTGTGAGTGTGTGTCTGCATGCGTCATGAGTCTTCAAAAAGGCCAAAGTTTTTATTGAAAAAACAATACATTTCAATTGTGGAAGAGTATCATGCATGTGTATATGTAGGCACATATATTAGTATACATGTATTATATTAATATTTATACACACACATATATATATTAATATACACAATATTTACTATATAAATATATTATAAGCTGAATATATTATTACTATAACACACATGCATTAATATACATGTACAAATGAAGGGACTGCAAGGAATGTATTCAGGAAACTGGCCTTAGGGGCAATAAGGAGGGTAAATCCAGCTATGCTGGATTCCACGAGTTCAGTAAGGTGAAGGTACACAGCTTTGCCAAGCTGTAAGTATACAGAGAGTATAGCTGTAGTAGACAGAGTCTAGATATCGTTAATATTTTGAATTATGGGACAGTCAACTGCCCAAATAGACATGCTTCTCTGCCTGAAGAGTCCATACAGGTGTTTAAACACCAATTGGATAAATACCTCCACAAGCATAACATACAGGGATATAATTTCTAATTAGTGGGGTAATAGCTGCTTGATCCAAGGAGATATCTGACTGCCATTTTGGGGTGAAAAATGATTTTTTTCCTAGTTTGTTGCAAAATTGGAAGCGCTTCAGACTGTTTTTTTTTTTTTGCCTTTCCTTGGATCGACAGCAAAAACATATGTGAGGAAGGCTGAACTTGATGGATGCAAGTCTCTTTTCAGCTATGTAACTATGTAACTATGTAACATACCCCCAATGAAAACCTGCATGCATTCAATCTATGCATCCAACACCCACTTGTAAAAAGTCTGCACTTTTGCAAGCCCTCCTCTTCTAACCCCACCCAGACTTTCTCTAGCTGTCCAATCACAGACTTCTCAATGCAGCTCAATGAGAAGTATTTGCAAGACAGGTGCTGTGGGCAAGTGATTTAGGTATGTGGAGTGGTCCTTTAAGGTTAAAAATAAAATACATAGTGCTTAATAAAGTACTATATAAAAGAAAAGAAATCCCTCCCTCTGAGACTACTGCTTATGGTACAGTTGCTGAGCCCATGGTACATTGTCCCATGCCGGTTTATGCTTTCAGAACGTAATAAAAGAGATATTCCACTATTAAGGATTGGACAAATCTAATGTTAGTAAGATGTTGGTTATGGTGATAGTCATGAAACGCGTTAGCTTAGAATCATTAATCTTGTGCTTTCCATTCCAAGGTTATACAGATGGCATAATAGGGCAGAGTTTAACAATTGTTCTTATTTATTTAATTTTAGAAATCTTTCCCTATCACCGGGAGTCATTCCAAAAATGCACAATTACACGAAACAGAGTACATTAAACAGCAGGCAGAGCAGAACAAAGTATGCAGCCTACAGCATATATGACAAAATCTTGACAGCAGATTGAAATTTCATGTTTACATGGTTCTGTAAATAGAATGCCTCCCAGTGCTTTGATTTTTAACAGGTTAAGATAAACACAAAAAAACAATCAGGACTAAATATACAAGTGGACAATAAAACATTCTCTCCTACAAAGCTTGGCGCATGTAAGCATATAAGAAAATGTGACAATAGTTTAGTAAATAATGCTATGGTGCATAAGGTAGATTATTAAAATATAACTGGCATTTTCTTTTATTATTGTTTAAAATCAAATATTATCTTTGATATATCTTTTATGTTTATTAATTTGCAGCACGTACATATTAGTAAAAAAAAATATTTCAATTTATCTCCTGAGAAAGAAACTCTACTTCACCAGCTAAGAATCATGCAGATAAGCGAAAGCTTGTTAATTTTCTCAAATCTTGAAATCCCGACATCATTCTTTCAAATAAATATTAAAGAAATAGTAATTGAAATCACAATATAGTTCAGTCCTGGCACAGTGAGGGCACAGTGGGAAGAGCAGAATAATAAACAATGCTTCTGTTCCTCCACAATATATGTTCAATGACAGAAAAGTACAAAGTTTATTACAATCATTGATAGGAAGCTAAGATGGAAGGGATCAGTTCCAGGATAGTGGTACATAAATGAATGTGGACTTGTACATTTATTTGAATTAGAAATTTCACAAACACATTTGATAAACGTATGGCATATGTAAACATAATACACTATTAAAATCCTGGAAAGTGACATTTCCACTTTAAATGCACACTGTAGGCACTTTAACAACTTAATTTTACTTACTTCCCGACTCTCATACCATAGCAAAACGTGACGCCACACACATGTGTAGTGAAGTCATGGTCGGCCTTAGAGAATAATTGCATTCAATTCATCTAAATGGCAGAAACCTTAGCGCATGAGGAGCATTAGAAACAAGGAGCAGGTCATGTCAGTGCCAAGGAAGACTCGGTGCTGGATTAAAGGTAAGTAATTAGTTTGATTTTCATTTATTTTTATTTTTATTTTTTATTTGACACATGTGGGATACCTAATTGAAAGGGGCATCAGGATTGTAGCTGATGGACAGGTGGCCAGAGCAGTCCAGTGCTGGAACACAGACTTTGGGGTAAAACCATTTATTGATGGTTTAACATTTAAAGGTGAGCCAGCACCAGGGTTCTACTGGCACCATAACAACTTAATTTTGAATGTAAGAAAAATTGCTTTATTAAGTCTTTGTAGGAGCTTACTGCAAAATTACAGAACTCTTTCCCAAAATACAACAAGATCTAGTTTCCCTGGCTTAGCTATCTTTCATGGATCCCTCTAGGTGGATGCCCATTACCACCACCCACTCAGGGCTCCTCTCTGTCCCTCCTCATACCTTTTATTCCCCTCTTCTTTAACCCCTTACGGACACAGGGCATGTGTGACATGTCATGATTCCCTTTTATTCCAGAAGTTTGGTCCTTAAGGAGTTAAACTCTAATTCTATCTAGCCCTCTGTTCCTATCCTGTTTCCTTCAACTATTGCTACTATGTATCTCTTTTCCAATAGTAATAATAATATAATGGTTCAGTTTTTACGAGTTATATGCATAGTCTTGTCAAAAGCAGCCTATAACAATTTAGCTCTTATAGCATAGTACGGACTATCCTAGCCTGGTGAAAATTGGCACTTTGGGTTATTGGTGGCTAAACTCAACTCATCTTCTTCTGGCCAAGCCGAAATGTTAAAAAGAAATGCTGTCCACAAACATTAGTGCCAAGCTTAAACAGTGACCCAGGCTCATTATAGAAAATTCTTTGTCTCTGAAATGTGTTTACTTTTCTGAAATTCTTGCAGTGTATGTAATTTACACAGATTCTTTTTTTCATAACTGTCCATCTTTATTATAAAGATTTATGCATTATCATGCACAACATGTGACCATGTCAATCCTGTGGAATGAATTTGCTCATTATTTCTAACGCTAATGCAGCTCTGACACAACTGATTCTTGGAGATTAAACTCTCTATCAATTCCCCGCATTGCAAAAGAATGTGTTTACTTCATTGGCAATACAATTTTTAATTAAATGGTTTGCTATTAATGAGCTGTGTGTTTAGAGATGGAATCAGTCTAATCTGCATTTAGTTAATTGATATAACTGTTCTCAAAGGGCCTGGGACCTAGGTATTTTCAATGCAACATTTAAATAAACATTGGTGAAATAAATTAAAATAATGATATATAAAATGATATGCAGGTACAACAGTTTGGAAATACGTATCATGTCGCTCTGTAAAGGGAAGAAACTAAACTATATGATGAAGCTCCCACGTATGACGGGAGACTGGAGGGGATTGCTAGAAATCTCATTAACAAGGCAATCACTATGGAAAACTACCTGTGTGAGCAAGGACATTCTATTAGTTTCCATGGTAACTGCTGCACTTTTTCAACTTTGCAAAAAGTTAATTTTTACAATGGGTTATTCACTATTCACTAAAGTGGGAATTGTCGAGAATTCAAAATGAATTCCCACTTTTGTTACTTTGGCCTTAAATTTGACATTCACTTCCAATTCCCACATTAGTGAATAACTCTGTATTTGTGTCTCTCAAATATACAGGGTTATTCAATAAGGTGAGAATTTCCAGGAATTCAGTGTGAATTTCATCATTTAGGACACAGAGACCAGGCAAGTGCCCTCGGCAGGATGCACAATTGGGGCCCCTTCCTAATGTGGTTCCATGGTCTATATGCGTTGTGTTTGCGTGTAGTTGTTGAGCCTTGTGTGTGGAGGAGACTGAGAGTTGTATTTGGGAGAGAAGACTGGGTGTATCTGTGTGTGCTGGTTGAGTGTTGTCTATGGTGTCTGAATTTTGTATATGGAGGGGAGTCTGGGTGTGGCTGAGTGTTGTGCGCATGCGTATGGCTGTGCTGTGTGGTGCCTTGAGATTAGGATGGGTTTTTCATTTGCCCCTTCCTGGTTAACTTTTTGAGGAAGAATGTATTATTTTGGGTGTCTGGTGGGGAGCTTTCCTTGGTGAAAGCATTGTGATCTGCACCAATAACAAGTGCTGATCACTTTAACAGTTTTGTGTCAGATAGGGATAGGGATAGTCAGTTTGTGACATGCTTCTGGAGGGTATTCTGTTCAGAGATGGCTATTCAGATTCCTTTCCATTTGCTTACCATATACCTCCCAAGTGTTCCTATTTAAGAGGGACAGTCTTTATGTTTACTTAAATCCCTCAATCCCTTGTTTCTATTTCTAATACCAGAGATCCAAAGCAATAACACTCTGAGGAATGTGTCTTTTAAAAAATAAATGTCTTTAGAAATCAGTCTGTGTAAATAAGATACAATTATTGTTCTGAATTACATTTTAGTTGCATAAATTATAAGTAATTACATTTGCAAAGTTGGGTGCTATGCTAACACCCATAGTGTAACAAGGCAGCTGAGAGAGCAAATCAAGACTTAGAACTAGAGTTACCCTGTGTCTCTTTGCAACATCAGGACAGTTGGCCAGACCTGCTCCCATGGACTGGATTTGCATGTAATAATGCTATTTATTACTCTTCTCAGCACGGCCATTTTTTTTTTGTCATTTATAGGCTCCATTCTAATGTTCTACCAGTAGCATGTTCTGCTAAGGAAAAGCCTGATCTGGATGAACATTTAAAAACCCTGGCACCCTGGCTGACTGAAGAAGCTGAACAAGCGAAATGCATTTTGTCAGATGTTATTTCATTGGATATTCTGTTAAGTGCACTTTGTATTGTTACATAACTTGTGATTTAATAAATTGTAATTGAAGCTTTTGGGCAGTGTTATTGGTATCCACGTTCCAGGGTTGCAGTTGGAGTAGTGTCAACCCACAAAGTGACAACAGACCTTTAAACCTTAGATCCAGGTAGTCATAATGTTCCAATGAAGGTGAGCTTAACCCAATACCCCACCTCTTGCACTGTTATCCTTTTTTCTGTTTTGCCTTGAGAGTGGAATATTCTTCTTGAAACAAGGTGGGGTGCGGCCTTTAAAAGAACAACTGTGTGAAAAGTGAGCCATATATCTAGGCTCCATTCCATGTGAGTGAATAAATAGTGTTGTCTTCCATTACACCTGGTGTTATTATCATATGCACTATATATTGTATCTTCTTTATTTTGGTGTACTGAATCCCCATTTATTCACATTAAAAAGACGGTAAGATAGTCCTCGTTTTATAGTATTCCACTAATTTGTTTTCACTTATAATACTGTATATTTTAAATCAAAACAACTGTGACTGACCCTCTGGTCACCTTAGCTGGATAAATATCTCCCCGACACACTAAAAATTTTTTCAGAACACCCAAATTTAACTCAGTACATAGATGAAACACCTTTGGACGTAATTACAACCTCTTTTGGGGTATTAGGCGACAAACATTGCACAGCTGGAACTGGTGTGGGTTTTGCCATTCATTTCTACACATCATCTCAAGCTCTGTCAGGTTGGATGGTGACAGTTGGTGGATAGCCATTTTCAGGTCTTCCCAGAGTTATTTAATTGTAGTCAAGTCCAGGCTCTTGTTGGCCACTCAAGGACATACACAGAATACTCCCTAAGCCACTTTTCTATTGTCTTGGCTGTGTGTGTAGGGTCATTGTCCTGTTGGAAGGTGAACCTTTGGCCTGAGGTTGATGTCTAAGGTCCTGAGTACTCTGGGAAAAGTTTTTATTAGGGATATCTCTGTATTTTGCTATATTCGGCTTTCCCTCAATTCCTGACCAGTCTCTCATTCCCTGCTACTGAAAAAAAATTCCAAAGCACAATGCTACCAACACTGTTTAATCGTTATCATGAGAATCATGTTTCTCACAATCAGATATAGACTGTTAGGTGATTTTGCAAATTCCAAGCTGGTCTGCATTGAGGAAAGGCTTCTATCTGGCCAGTCTGCCATAAAGACCTGATCAGTGAAATGTTGCAGTGATAGTAGTCCTCCTGCAAGTTTCTCCAATCTTTATCTCTGGAGTTCTTGGTCACTTCTCTTACCAAGACCCTTCTCCCCAGAATGCTCAGATTGGCCAGGTATCAAATTCAAGAACACGTCCTGGTTGTTCCTATCTTCTTCCATTGAAGAGTTATGGAGGACACCGGTGGGGATTAATCTTATATTTTCAATTAATACAATTAATCTTATATTTTCACACCACACAAATACACATTTGCTAAACAAAGGGATAAGTAAACATAATATTAAACATCCTGGGAAATGACAGGGATGCCATCTGTCATATGTTTGTCTTGATATCAGTGGTGTACACACAACCCATGGGGTCCAGGTGTGAAAACTGATCCATGGGCCCCCCCCCCCACGCTTACTCTCCGCAGACTGGGGCCGCAACACATGGCGGCGGGCACCTGGTCGGAGGGGTGGCAGGGCTGCGACCGCGGTATGTACGCCAGTGCATGCAGATACACATACACTTAAAGGACCACTACAGCCACCCAGATCACATCAGCTCAATGAAGTGGTCTGGGTGCCAGGTCCCTCTAGTTTTAACCCTGCAGCTGAAAACATAGCAGTTTGCTAGAGGAGCTTCCATAGGAAAGCATTAAGTAATGCTTTCCTATGGGTGATTTGAATGCGTGCGCAGCTCTTGCCACGCATGCGCATTCTGAGCTGAGAGGTGGATCAGGGCGGAGAGATCTCCAGCGCCAAGGGAGTCCGGCGCTGGAGAAAGGTAAGTGCTTAAGTAATAGACTCAGTAATAGACAAACACAGTAACACACACACTAACACACAAGTTTTTAAAATAAAATTTTATCCCCCCAGCCTCCCTACCTTTGGGAGAGCTGAGGGGATTCCCTGAGGTCCAGTGGTGTCACCCAGCGGGCAGGCTGGCGGGCACGCGTGGGAGCACTCTCCCCTGAGTGCTTCCTCTTCAGCTCCCTCGCGCGCCGCGTACTGATGCCGGAGCCGGAAGATGATCTCATATTCCGGCTCCAGTATCAGTGCGGTGCGATAGGGAGCTGAAGAGGGAGCGCTTAGGGGAGAGTGCTCCCTTCGGCGCCCGCCTGCCTGCCTGCCAACCCGGTGACACCAGGGCCAACGTCGGGGGGCCCTGAGGTGGCCGGCTCCTGGACACCCAGGAGAAGAGGCTGACCACAGTGACATACATACCGGGTCGCAGGGCGGCCGGGCCCCCTGGTGGGCCGGGCCCGGTCGCAGCCGCGACCCCGGTATGTACGCCACTGCTTAGTATAAAGTTCTAAAATTCCCCTATAGTAATCACTGGGACAATTTTCACTTCAGACCTGGATTGATTACCGGGCCCTTTTATACAATTCAGGTTACTTATTCACTAACCTTGCCTACGTATAATATCAGACATATAGTCATACTATCTGAGCATGATCATTTAGTTTATCTCATCTTACGTTTCTATTCTATGTCCCCTCATTATTCTCTGCTTAGTACCATAAATAATAAAAAATGTTTACATTTTGCATGATCAGATTTTACTTTCATCAATAAAGTAAATAAAATCAGGAGGCACAGCGGTGATTTGATGCAGACATACCATATACAGTGAGGGAAAAAAAGCATTTGATCCTCTGCTGATTTTGAACGTTTGCCCACTGACAAAGAAATGATCAGTCTATAATTTTAATGATAGGTGTATTTTAACAGTGAGATACAGAATAACAACCAAAAAAATCCAGAAAAACGCATATCAAAAAAGTTCTAAATTGATTTGAATGTCAATGAGTGAAATAAGTATTGGACCCCTTCGACTTAGTACTTGGTGGCAAAACCCTTGTTGGCAATCAAGTGGTCAAACGTTTCTTGTAGTTGGCCACTAGGTTTGCACACATCTCAGGAGGGATTTTGTCCCACTCCTCTTTGGAGTTCCTCTCCAAGTCATTAAGCTTTCGAGGCTGACGTTTGGCAACTCGAACCTTCAGCTCCCTCCACAGATTTTCTATGGAATTAAGGTCTGGAGACTGGCTAGGCCACTCCGGGATCTTAATGTGCTTCTTCCTGAGCCACTCCTTTGTTGCCTTGGCTGTGTGTTTTGGGTCATTGTCACGCTGGAATACCCATCCACGACCCATTTTCAATGCCCTGGCTGAGGGAAGGAGATTTTCACCCAAGATTTAACAGTACATGACCCCGTCCATTGTCCCTTTGATGCGGTGCAGTTGTCCAGTCCACTTAGCAGAAAAACACCCCACAAAGCATAATGTGTCCACCTCCATGTTTGATGGTGTTCTTGGGGTCTTAGGCAGCATTCCTCCTCCTCCAAACATGGCGAGTTGTGTTGATACCAAAGAGCTTGATTTTGGTTTTACCTGACCACAACACTTTCACCCAGTTCTCCTCTGAATCATTCAGATGTTCATTGGCATACTTCAGACGGGCCTGTACGTGTGCTTTCTTGAGCAGGGGGACCTTGCGGGCGCTTCAGGATTTCAGTCGTTCGCGGCGTAGTGTGTTACCAATTTTTTTTTTGGGTGACTATGGTCCCAGCTGCCTTGAGATCATTAACAAGACCCTCCCGTGTAGATCTGGGCTGATTCCTCACCGTTCTCAAGATCGTTAAACTCCACAAGGTGAGATCTCGCATGGAGCACTGAGGGAGACTGACAGTTATTTTGTTTTTTTTCCATTTGCGAATAATCGCGCCAACTGTTGTCACCTTCTCTCCAAGCTGCTTGGCGGTGGTCTTGTAGCCCATTCCAACCTTGTGTAGGTCTACAATCTTGTCCCTGACATGCTTGGACAGCTCTTTGGTCTTGGCCATGGTGGAGAGTTTGGAATCTGATTGATTGCTTCTGTGGACAGGTGTCTTTTATACAGGTAACGAGCTGCGAATAAGAGCCTTCCCTTTAAAAGAGTGCTCCTAATCTCAGTTCGTTACCTGTATAAAAGACACCTGGGAGCCAGAAATCTTGCTGATTGATAGGGGATCAAATACTTATTTTACTCATTGACATGCAAATCAATGTATAACTTTTGTGACATGCGTTTTTTTTTATTTTTTGGTTGTTATTCTGTCTCTCACTGTTAAAATACACTTACCATTAAAATTATAGACTGATCATTTCTTCGTCAGTGAGCAAACGTTCAAAATCAGCAGGGGATCAAATACTTTTTTCCATCACTGTATTATATCATCCCATATATAGAAAGAATATCAGGTCATCCTAAAAAGAAAAAAAGAGCATAAAAATGCATTATGACAGAGCTTGTCAGTTGATAAACTACCAGCTACATTGGTAATGCATTTGAGAATCTACTATGTGTTACTTAGTAATTGAAGTACCAGTTAGTAGACGTATTAGTAGTATTATTTATATAGCGCCAACATATTCCACAACGCTTTACTATTATAATGTGGGGATATGTGACAACAGACAAGAGGCCCTGCTCAAACAACATGTCAGAGGGGAGGAGTGATTGATCGATAAGATGCCTATATCAAAATAAGCTAACAAACATGGTATGTGGAATAAGTTAACAGTGGAAGAGAGAGAGAGAGTGAGTAGCTTTATGGAACTGAGGGAGCGAAGAGGGCAGTTGTAATGAGAGAAGTGTCACCCAGGAACATAACATGCTTCCCTAAAGAGGTGTATTTTCAGTGACGTCTTAAACTATTTAAGGGGATGGTGAAAAGAGTTCAGTTTTAGAAAAATTACATTTTAGAAAATTTGTGTCCTAACAAACCGATCTATCCAGAATATAACTGTGGAGTCGGGTAGACCTGCTTGTTGGTGCTAAATTGAAAGGCGTTTGAAAGGCGTTTCACCAGGTGAGATGCAT